GACAAAGCCATAGCGAACATAATTGCTTGTTTTGTTATTGGGGTAAGCTTTTTTCTTTCAGATGCACTATCTCACAAAATATTGATAGAATTTCTTTTCAAGTCTGAGACCAAGAACTTACAGAAGATTTGTGAAAGATCCACTTTATGTGGATATAATGTATTGATACTTATACATAATATTCGTCTTAAATTCTTATATGAGTCAACATTTATATACATAAGTATGTTATAATACAACTATAATACGTAAATATCAATTTAAATTAAGTTGTTATTTTAAAACGTCACTACGCTATCATTAATTCTGTTTTTAAAAACTTATTTTCAAAATGCAGTTTGTTTACTGAAGCGCTTACCTCAACATTCTACTTCTAAGGAACCTATTAATTTAAAGTAATGCAGTTGCACATGTTACCAGCAATAAATAACGCTTCGGTATCTTCTTTATACTCGTACAGTAGTATAAATTTGTAATTCAATTTACGTAGTTATGGAAACAATTTTATTCACTTAAATAGCACTTGTATCGCAAAGTGCGAAGTAAGCTGTTCTTACACAGGAAATTTACTACTTTACGCTTTGAACTTTTGCTCAACTTATGCAGCATTAAATTGCACTGTGGCAAGATACTTTTAAACATATTTTAAGTTTACCTAAGTCAGAAGTTTATTGCAGTGAAAAGTCTTCCAGATATAGTACGTATGTATTTCTCTTTAATAAATGAACTTTTTCATAAAGTTTTTCTTCAGAAAATAAATATTTTATAAATTTCTTTTTTTTTTTAATATTTTTAGTTTACTATATTAATTACATTAAGTAATCTTTCATTAATAAGACTAGTTTAAACAACTGATTACCAAAACTCAAAAATTTTATATCACTATGTAGGTTAGGTTAGGTTATACCGGTGATCCCTAGTGGATCCACTTAGGTCTATTGGCCCATTGTGATGCCGTATATAAATAATAAAAACCTCAGGGTTTAAAACCACCTAGAACCTTTTGCGAAGCATAAAATGCTATTTAAAGCCCGATCCTGTAACTGGTCCAGGTCCTCAAGGAAGGGGGCCCCTAGAGTACTAAATCGCCGACGTGCAAGAGCTGGACAAAAACACAACAGATGAGATGCGCTCTCATCGTCCTCCCCACAGCTACGACAGATTTGGTTGAAAGGAAGACCTAGTCTTCTAGCATGGTTCCCTAGCTTACAGTGCCCTGTAATCAACCCTACCAGAACACCAATGTCCTTGCGGGACAT